AAAAACAATTTGACTGTCCCGGAATGTGGTCGGGGAAGAAGTCACTGGTCGATAAAGGTCATCCAATGGGCGATGGTGCTATTGATCGTGTCTTGGGTCTTGTAGAAAACCAACGGATTGTTATCCATTACCCATCGGAATTGTCGTCGACCGAGAAGAAAATGCTGCCAGTGCTTGAGCGCTTGTACACTTTCTTGCTAAAGTTCTCAATCGGGTGCCAGTCCACGCTATCATGTTGCTCGAGGACGACACCAATGAGCCGGACGCATCGGTAGTGACGCGTGTCGGCAAGAGCGGATCGTAGATGCGCAAGACCTCCGCGGATAACAATGCGGCTTTGAGGGTCAAAAAGGAAGCCCACCCATTGTCGTCGAAGTCAAATGGTTGCTCCTCGCATTGAAGCTTGGATAAATGGGACGCGATCTTCGAGTAAGCCTTGATGAAGTGTTGATGGTAGCAAGCTAAGCCAAAAAAGGAATGGACATTCGTGACGTTCTTCGGCTCCGGCCACTCTTGGATGACTTGAATCTTGTCCGATAACGGACTGATGCCCTCCGGTGTGACAAAATGGCCCAAGTACTCCAACTCTTGACGCACGAATTCACACTTTTCGAGGTTGGCTTTGTACTTGTCACGACGGAGCGTCTCCAACACATGTCGAAGGTGCTCGAGATGATGCTCCATGGTCTGGCTCTAGACGAGACTGTCGTCCAAGTAGACCAGTACAAACCGGTCCAACATTGCGTGAAACTCGTTGATCATCACCGCTTGAAAAGTCGTCAGGCCATAGGTGAGGCTGAAAGGCATAGCAACCCACTCAAAATGCTCGTACCACGTCTTTAACTTGGATTTGCAGCGATGTTGCGGGCATATCGAGATCTGATGATAGCCCGACTTTAAATCAAACTTTGAGAAAAATTTTGTGTCGCCCAAACGCTCGAGAAGATCATCAATGCGCGGAAGAGGTCCCGTATTCTTGACGGTTTGTGCGTTGAGCTTGCGGTAGTCGATGTACAAGCGAAGATCCTTGTTCTTCTTCCGTACGAAGAAAACTGGCACACCGTATGGTGAGCATCTAGGGCAGATCCAACCCTTATCCAACAGATCATCGAGCTTCGTGCAGAGAACTGCGAGTTCTTCCTCGCTCATGCGATAGATGCATCCCTTCGTCGGCATGACACCGGCCTAACAAATGATCTCACGGGAGATCGGCTGATCCGGCACCACACCGGTAGGTGACTCGAAGATGCCGGTGAACTCGTCGAGCAACCGCACCACTCAGGGGTCTGAAGACAAGTTCGTAGGTGAGGATTCGGTCGCCGCGACGGTCTGAAGAAAACATAGGTCTATCTCGTTGGTCCGCTTGTAAACGCAAGTGGCCCGAAAAGACTTGGCCGTCACAACCTAACACCGGATCGAAGGGTGTGGAAGAGGAGTAGTACATGACACCTCAGCGCCGAAGGCGTCGCAAATGGTAAGTGTCCTCTAATGGAAGTTGACCGTGTGGTTCGCACTTGCAAACGAAGGTATCCCCAAAATGATGTCGAAGTCTGTATCCACGACGTCAAACATCACTAGTTCGCATGCATGAGGTGCGAAATAGACCAGCACAACTTCGATGTAACGATCGTCGTCGGGTTTGGCTTCCTTAGAACTTGTGCGCCAAGGCCGTCCCTTTGGATAAAGGATTGGCTGATGAAATTGTGAGTCGCGCCGCTATCCAGCAAAGCGTAGCAGGACGATTGCCTATCTTGGATGCGGACATAAAGGAGCGGTGCATTGTTGTCATAGTACCGCTGTGTGCGAAACTTGCGGTCCACCTTACTAACATACGCAAGGATGTCCCCCACCGCAACTTCGTCATCCGTCGACGAAGATGGTGGTGCATGGAAGGCTAAGTATGTGTGGAGATGGGCGCATAGTGTTGTGCATTGCGGTCCCGGTAAGCAGCCTGTGGAATGGAGAGGAAGCCATGCAAAATGCTCTGACGTCAACGGGTCCAAGACCTCTATGTTGAACTCGCGCATCGAATCCCTTAAAGAACCACTTGAAGACGATAAATTGTCTCTGCTTCTGAATGGAGAAGAAACCGCACACACATCTTGTCCTTGAGCTTGAGAACCCAGTGAAGGAACGAGCCTGGCAGCATAGTCCTCAAGAGAGTAAAAGATAGGACTATCGACTTTCGCATGTGCTTGGGAACGAAGAGAGGTCGCTCCTGAAGCAACTCGTTCCGAAGGTATCGAGAGTGCAGCCGCATCGCTCTCGGTGGTGCTCACTTTCCCTGAGGGAACTTCCCTTTGACTTGCGTGGTGCACTTCGTGGTGTCATGCACTGCGCTATTGCACCACAAACAGTATCGGTATTTGGTACGGATGCGGTAGACGCCTTCCGGAATACTGTAATGTGTCTAGGGTTCTTGAGCTTCTGGTCCAGGCTTGGGGATGAATTGGTGTGTGTCTTCGGTTTGCCGCGCCCTCGACCTTTGGTGGGCGGCCACCATCCCGGGCGGCTGCCATTCTGTCTACTTTATCAGAAGAGCCACCCTCGTTTGAAGGGTCGGCCGGCGTTGTCGCTGTGACCACGACCACTTTCGGCCGATGCTGGTCTCTGCCCTGGCTCGCAGCAGTTGAACGGCCCAAATTCTTGGCTTCAGTGTTCGTCACAATGATCTGCAAGGCTTTGTCAAAAAGCTGCTCAGTTGTGGTGAGCGTCGCCGCAACTTGCGTCAAGGCGTTCTGCAATGCCGGACAACACCGTGTGATGAAGAAGTGCTGGATGCCCACAAAGGTCATCGGCAAGTTGAGCCTGGATGCCAAGGTTTGGTACTTGGTTATCCAATCCGCGCTTGGCAGAGTGTTCTGATAGAACCTTTGGAGTTTCTCGGCCGCCTGAAGCTCGGGCGGCTCCACTTGGAACCGCTTGTGACATGCTGCCTTGAGATCAGACCAACTGATCTGAGTATGCAGCTTAGAGATTGTGACGATGTGTGTGGACAACATATTGTCCAGCCATGCTTGGTGCCCCACTGGGGAGTATAAGTACGCGTGTCGGTTGGCGTCGATGACTTTGTGGATGTCCAGCTTCAATTCGAACTGGAGCCACCACGGGATCGGCTCCTTCTTCATTGCATCACAGAAGATCGGCACGCCATCAAACTTTGAATGCTCTCACGCGATGCCGCGGTAGGACTGATGACGGTGACGCAAATCTGCTGGTCAAACCGCTGATTTGCCGCTTGTTGCAGCTGAGCGTCGTCCTTGAGCGTCCCGACGTCAACTTCCAAGACGTTGACCCGATCTGCCAAGTTGGAGGGTCTGGCGATGGTGGCTGCTGCAGGCTATGTTCCAGCCTGTGTACACGGTCGAGTTGGTCGGCGATAACCTGAGCCTGCTTCTTGACCAGGGTGTCCGCGTAGAGGATGTCCTCTGGCTGTGCGGTACATGTGGCAACCAAGTCGGTGACATGTTCGAACGAGGTTGCAAGGCCGTGCACAGCAGCGGGGGGCATCCTCCTCTCAGCCACCGCCCATTCGTCGACTAGAACCTCGAGGTCCCCCTCGTTCTCGAAGAGTTGGTCTCGACATAGTTGACGGTGTTGGTCTGCAGCCTTCCTTGCTGCGTCGGTGTCCTCCTGTCACTGCTTCTCAGCGAGGCGACGCTGTTCCTCGGCCTCCTCGTCCCTCTTCTTTCGTGCGGCTGTGGCCACCTCTGCCCGTAGCTTGAACTCATCATGGTCAGCATGCGGGCCTCACGGGCCTCGGGTGTCTCTCCAGGTTGCTGCACCAATGCCGCAGGCGAGGACATGAGGGAGGAAGATAGAGAAGAAAAGGTTTGGCAGCAGGGATGGGGTGGGAACACCGATCACCCAGATAAGGAGCCAGTAATCAAATTGAAAAGTTCAAACTTTGCTGAAATAAATAAAAATAACAGATTCGAAAAAAATCAAAAAATTCGAAGTTGCAAGTTCGGCAGGTCTCCCAATCCCCACCAAAAGAAATCCGAAAAATTAAAATAAAAAAAAATGAATTTCAGACTGCAACCAATTTAATGACAATAAAGAATAATTTGGAACTGCAAAAGTTAAAAAATATTTGCAAGTCCTGTAATTCTGAATTAAAAAAATAATAATCCGAATGAATTCCATATGAGATTATGCACAATAAGTTGCGATTTTGGGAATAAAATCCCGAAACTTTACTGCAAAAGAGAGATTTTCCCTAAAAAGTAAAAATTCCGGAATCGTGGAATAATGAGGATTTTTTTTTGAAATCCAGGAATAAAAAAAAAATTCGAATTTCCCAGCATGCACGATATGAAGAAAAAAAACAAATAAGCTCAATAAAAGATTCCAAAAAAATACCATTTCGGAATAACGAAGCAAGAAAAAAAATTCGAATTTCTCAAAATAAGGAGAAGCGAAAATTTCTGCTATGAATTAATGCGTGTTTCTGTATATCCGAAAAAACGAAGTAGGCCCAAAAAAAAAATTATAAAAAAAAACGAATTTGCGAAAAGGGGCGAATTCCGAAAATGTTCGGAATTCACGATTTTGGATATATACGGAAAACAGATTTGCGCAAAAAAAAAAGAATTCCAATTGAAAAAAAAATTGGTGGTTAGGTTAAAATCGCAAATGGGGGGGTTAATTAGGACAACCTAATCAATCAGTCAATCAATCAATCTGTATGAAACGGTTTTCACCTTTGTAGACACAGATCCCAGGGCTCGATCCCTAGACCTTTTCCTCACCCGTGTACAGTACCAAGTCGACCCCTGTGTGTTTGAACCCGTGACCTGTGTTTTGGTAGTCGTTTGTTGTCTGTCGCAGGTTAGTATGGTCGTCGGGTCTTGAACCGTAGGTCTGTTGAGTAGAGGTTGTAGTTGTGTCAAAGTCGTAGCTGCTACAGTCCTAAAAGGCCAAGTCTACAAACTTCTGGAAGGTTCGGAAGTGGCCTTTTGAGAATTGCTAAGGTCATCTCCTGCAATGGCATCCCTCAGCAGCAGCGAGTTGTGTCGGACATGGTGACGGCCGTCCGCAAGGACATTGCGGCGACGGGAGCGACCATCCTCACGGACAGTCGCAAGTCCATCACGAGTGACCAGATAGTCAACTTCCTTGCTGCTGGGCCTACGGAAGCGTCCCTTTTCAGGACTGTGCAGTGGGACGGTGATGTTCAGGAAACAACAGAGGTCGTCGTGGAGCGATGGAAGGACGTGTTCGACAAGTTCGGTGTCGAGAAGGTCAACGCCATTTGCACTGATTCCGCGTCTGCGTATGTGGCTCCATCCAAGCTCCTCGTGAAGGAGGAAGTCAAGCACAACCGCATCACTTGGCTTCCGTGTGCGGTCCATGTCTGCAACTTGTTATTGTCAGACATCGCGAAGGTCGGGCGCGACAGGAACCTTGGGAAGAGGGAGGACACCATCATCAGGGCTCGAGCTGTCGTGCGTTTCATCAGAGAGCACGAGGAGGCTCTCACCCTTTATCGACGGTTCTCTACTGCCCACCCCTCTTCCACCTCCGCGGCGGCGGGCAGTTCCAACGTTGCGCCACCTCCGTCTCAGCGGTGAGGCCGGGAGCTTGTATACCCTGTGCAGACGAGATTTGCCACTCACTACTCGATGCTGGAGAGGTTGTTGGATCATCGCAGAGCGTTAGAGGCGTTGATGATGAGCGATGATTGGCTGCGGACTGCATGGAGGAGGTCCATTTTTTTGCAGGCTAGGTGGGTGCGTCATCAGGTGCGGTACGCGCCATTCTGGGAGCACGTGGAGGACATCGTGGAGCTGATGACGCCTGTGATGCAGTTGCTACGTCGTTTGAACAGGGGGGGACGCGTGATGACTCGCATGTGGTCGTGGGGTCTCGCCATGGTTGACAGGGTGGCGGGAGCGAGCCTGAACAGGACGTCGAAGGACGAGCTCCACATCGTTGTTCAGGCTTGTCAGGCGCGGGTTGCTCATATGTTGGAGCCCGCACATTGCATGGCCCACCTCCTCAACCCGCGGCACAGGAGCATTACGTTTTTGGGAGCGGTGAGACGTACTGGGCACGACAAGACACTCGCAGACGAGTCGCTGCGATACCTTCGCCAACAGACTGGTGGTGACGAGGATCTGTATGAGACGTTGCGCACGCAGCTGGCGGAGTTTCATTGTCGGGATGCGATTGGACGTATGGAGGGGTTGAGGGAGACAGGGACGCGGCCTCTTGCAGAGGGGAGAAGGAGACGTCGCAGGTGGGGCAGTGGTGGGTACAGCACGGGGACGGGGTCCCTCTCCTTCAGAGTCTCGCCATTCGCTTGACGTACACATGGACGTGTGCCTCTCCGGCGGAGAGGAACTGGGTCGTCCATGAGCGTGTTCATGTGAAGAGACGTAACCAGCTTGGTTTCATCAAGCTGACTCGTTTGGTCGATATATCCACCAACTTGAAATTAAGTCGTTGTCAGGGGACGGGTTCAGGGTACGTTCTTCCATGGGAGGATGCCGAGGAGGAGACAGAGGATGCTATTCCTCTGCCTCATGACGAGGGTGTTCGGCCAGCTGACCGAGTCACGGAGGCACAGTGCGAGCGGCAGGTCCAGCGCGGGGGGAAGGATCGCCTTTCGAAGGCCCCGCCCAACGTTGAGACGTATTTCGATCGTCGCGCCACAGTGCTCATGGTGACTAAGTTGGAGTCGGTCTACGATCCCGAGMCTGATCCTATGGCTCAGGACCCGATGGAGGCCGAGCCGTGGTCCGATCCGGACAACCTGGCCGTGGAGTCAGAGCGTGGAGGTTCTGATGACGATGACGACGACACTCGTCTCATCCGAATTCCACGTCCTCGCACACGTGCGTCCACGGCGGCCGCTGCACCATCTCCCGCTGCACGCCCTCTCCTTCGAGTACTCCTGAGGTCCCGCTGCGAGGCCCGGGGGACCGTGTTGAGGGCACGACGCCACACCCTTCGACCGATCGTCGCGGACATGGTGAGCAGGGGACTCGCGAGTACGTTGAGGAGGGAGACGACGGTGACGACGACAACAGGGAGTGATACAAGGGCAGCGGTGAGGATGAGGATGATCCCGGCTATTCCCTGACGTGCCGACACGGTGATGACGACGACAAGGGGGGTGATGGTACACAACCTGCGGGTGGTTTGCGGAGGTCCGAGAGACAGCGTGGCGACCAATGCAGTGGTGCAGGCAGGGAGGGCAGCGGGCCGGGTGTTGGGGGTGCAGGGCACATAGGCGGTGCAGGCCGTGCTGGTGGAGGACGAGCGAGGCGAGAGTCTGCATCATCCACTCGCACTATGCACTGGGTTGATGAGGGGAAGCGCACCGTGTCGACTGAGGTCGCTCCCTCCCCCACAGAGATCGCTCCGTCCAATGCTGAGTTTGCAGTGGCGTCTGCGGAGGGCGCAGGCGGGTTTGCAGATGTTGGTGGCAAGGGTGTACAAGTTGGGAGGTCATCTGCACAGTCGGGTGCCAATTTCAGCGACGACATTTTTGATGTTTCGTTAGGGCCTCCTCCGACACCGGCAGGGGAGCGTGTTAGTGGCGATGCGGACGCAGCGGCTACGCCCGTCAATTAGATACTTCGGGAGTAGCATGTTGCAGGAGGCAGCAGAGGGGACACAGGGTTCGTCGGGGCAGCACGAGCGCGCAACAGGGGATGATGGGGAGTGTCGACCTCCGCAGGAGCGGGCGTCAGAGTCAGAGCAGGACAGGATCGACTGCGAGAAGAGGAGGAGGGTGCAGGATTTGGCTAGCCGCTGTGAGATGACACAGAGTATTGCGTCGAGGGCATGCGCAGAGTGGATGCTCGAGACGGGCGTTGCGGCAAGCGATGCAAAGGTCGAGTGTGGCGGTGCGGGCGGAGGGGATGTAGGCGAGAGACCTGCGTCGCCAGTTCAGGGTGTTTTAGTATTGCCTCTCGGTGGGGCCATGTCGGCGGGGGAGTTGGAGCGGCAGGCACGGGAGGACCCATTGCAGGCAGATCCCCGCGGACAGATGGATGAGGCGTCGAGGAGGTTGATGGCAGAGGGCCCAGCTTACGTGCTTTGCAGCCCGTCAGTGCCATCGTCCACCACAGATGTCATCACACCCGCACATGCGGAGGGTCCAGGCGCGACACGGAGCCCCGCACCGGCACCTGTTGGGGAGTCTCCGTCTCCTCAGTCACGAAAGAAGAAGATGAAAGCAGGGAAGAGTCTTAGTACCGTGAGGAGGGTGACGCAGATGATGCGGGCGAGTCAGCCCGGGTTGGCCGGTTTACATCCGCGGACTCGGGCGGCTTTGGGCGGGGACGTTGTCGCGGACGCAGTAGGTTGGCAGGAGAGGGCCTCCACCCGTGCGACGGAGCAGCCCATCAGCGCACCTACTGAGGCGGCGCTGCCACGTACTGGAGGGCGTACAACGGGTATGGGGGACCACGCCGAGCACAGTGCCCCCCCTGAGAGGAGCATGGATGGACGTATATTGCGGGAGGATTTCAGGGCAGTGTTTGCCCAGCGACCGTCACAGACATCAGTCGTTTGGGAGTCTGGCACAAACGATTTGGAGATGCCTCTTGGCCAGCGGAGGAGGGTTTCCGTGTACGACCTTCTTCGAGCACATGGCGGGTTTGAGGCGGCGCCACAGGGGGAGATTCGTGGTCAGGATATTGCGCACGCGCCGGCAGGCGGCACAAGTGGTGGGGATGGTGTCACAGGTGTGGTGCCGCAGAGGAGGAGGAAGAACATTGTGGACGACGATGATGCATCGTCCTACCATCACTCTTCTTTCATCCTCTATTTCGTCGTAGTGTATAGTATATTTAGTGTTTCGGATGAGGTCATGTGTTCGTAGGTGTAATCTGTGCAGGTCGTCATGACTGCATTTATATTCGTACAGATGGTTAGACTATTGTATACTATTTCCATGCACGGGTGCAGTTTGTTTTTCTTTTTGGTTTCATTTTTCCATCGTGGTAGTGTATAGTATATTTAGTGCTTCGGACGAGGTCATCATAACCATGTGTTCATAGGTGTACTCTGTGTAGGTCGTCATGACTGCATTTGTATCCGTACAAATGGTAACGGGCGCAGTTTGTTTTTATTTTTCGTTTTATTTTCCCATCAATGTTTCAGAGGATTGCACTGTTTTAGAGTATTTCTGCATACATGGGCGCAGCAGGTGCAGTGCTCACAGTTTCCTTTTTGTTTCTCCTTTTATTTTTGTGTCGATGTTTCAGGCGATTCCACAGTTTCTTCGTACATTATTTGACTGAGTGCAGTGTCCTTGTCTCTTTTATTGTCGTGTATCTGTTTCGCCGTGTTCTTTCGTTGGCCTATAATGTTATACTTTCAAAACTTGTGCAATGATTGTTACTCGGAGCTGATGGAGACAGACTCAATATTTTTGAAAATTGTGTTTAATTGTTGTTGTTTGAACTCATGAACTTCATGCAGTCTTGTACTTGTTTCGTCGTGTGTTCAGTTCGCCTCTGTTGCATTTGGTAGCAACCCCGACATAACCCTCCCCCCCCCCCCCCCCCCCCCCCCCCCCCCCCCCCCCCCCCC